GGGGGGGGGAGGGTTCGCATCGTGTCCGAAGTAAAATTAACGAGTACATGGCCATCAAAGTTTTGTGACTTCCAAAGCTGTAGTATCCGTGGAAACGGCAAATCTACACCTTGTTGTGCCTTTGATCAACGTTTTTCCAGTAAAAATCCACACTTAAGAGTTTTTTTAAAAAGGACATAGATCTAAAAGGTTTTGAGCTTAACGCTAAAATATCGGCGATAAAAATTGCCTAACGGGAGAAAAAATTTCGATTTCATTATTTTGACGAGCGCCTGATTCACTTACGATGTCTCTATTACCATTACTATTATGTAAACAAATGCAAATTAACTTTTTACGCTCCTATCGACACAGAACCGTTGTTCGCCGCTGTGTTTTGATTTATAAAACAACAAACCCCCCCCGAAGTCAGTGATCTTACGTCATGTATGTAGATGTTCTCGATGTCCCGGTGTAGGATGGGTGGAGCCGCTGGCCGATCGTATCGGCAACGACCCGTCCACAGTGGTGTTCCCCAGCATAGAAGTGATCAGTGACGAGACGCTCTCCTCCACCTGCAACAACAACGTCAACCAAAACGGGGGCGTCGCCCTCAAGGATCTAACCTTCACCTGGGAGTTCCTCACTGCAGCCGACTCAGACAGACGCAAAAGTGACGCTGATCCCATCAGGTCCAGCTTTGTGCCCCTGGAAAATGGACCTCTCAGCTTAGATTATTATGCACCCTTGCTTCGTCCAACCCTCCCACCCCCCCCCCCCTTTTTTTTTGGAAAGTAGAGATGATTTTTGTCATATTTCTCTCACAAATTAAAAATACATTATGGAAACAATCCTTTCAATTGAGAACAAACTAAGAAAACTGATATAAAAAGTATACACCAAAGACATTAAAAAATAAATAAATATATTAATGAGGTCAAACTTTGCCCCCGGAAAATGTAACTCCCATCTCAGATTATTATTCAGCCTTGCTTCGTCCACACCCCTTTGAAAAAATAATTCTTCCTTTTCCCCTCACATTTGAAAAATAAAGGTACAGTAACCATCCTGTTAATTGCTAACAAAATGAGGAAACTGATATAAAGACGTATACACCAAAATCATCAAAGAAAATATAATATACCAAAGTAAAACTTGGAAAAGGGAACGAAAAGAGATAAGAACTTTTGAATCCATTACGTAGCAAAACGCCCACAGAGACCTTATTGAAAATTTTGAGAATATTAATTCAAGATCTATTAATCGCCACAGTGCATTCTAGATACAGATACATGTAATCGAATAAAAGGAGATTTATGGACGGCTTCAACATCACATTATAAGCGTTAACCATGAAGAAACATTTCCGAATCAATGTGTTACTCTATCGTATCTGTCTGCTCACAATCCTGCTCTCCTGTTCCACGTATCACTCCCTCGCCTAGAATACGAGATACTGGCCAAAGACTAAAATAAACTTTAAAAAACCAAAACAAACAAGAAATAAAAAAAACAACAAAAAAACAAAACAAACAAACCCACACAGACAAAAAGACACCCTCAACCCCTTTGCTACGACCCTGCCACAATGGTTACCTTTTGCTCTTTCCTCGGTTTTAAACCCAAGCAAACGTTCCATTCCCATCCCCATCCACCTCAAATTTGCTGCACTTGCTACTTTGGTTTTACAAACTGGCCTATTGTCGAAGCGAAGCTGCTAAAAACATGAGAGAGATTCCACATAATTTGATGTAACTTGGCTAATTTCCCCTTTCACAAGGAAAAGCTTCCCTGACAGACTCTATGCAAATCATCACGGTCTTACAAAGTTAGCACATGTATTTTGGCGGATGTAAAAAGCACTGTATGCTTCACAGGAAATTTAGATTGTATCAGCACTCGAGGGTCTGGACACTCTAACAAACCATTTGGCTACTGCTTGCTCCCTCAAGAAGCTTTTTGCTTCTCAACAGATATGCAACGGAACTGTTTTGAAAGAGAGAGAGAGAGAGAGAGAGAGAGAGAGAGAGAGAGAGAGAGAGAGAGAGCACAGAACTGCATACTTTCACCGTTTGCTTTTTGAAGACTGTGTTCTGTGCTTTGAATTTAATAATTTAAGCGAATCTGTGAGAACGACTCGTTTTTGTTCTAATTACATGTCTCAACTTTCCTCTGAGAAGGAATTGTAGATCTAATCATTCTCGTCGCCTTTCAACCGTAAACGATTTTTGGAAAACTTGAATCACAATTCGCATCTCATAAATACGACCTGTAATTGACACCCCCCTCTGTATCGGGTGAAGGTTGGCTCCAGCCGCTGCTGCAGAGGATCCACGAGAGCCCCAAGGCCGTCCCATACCCCAACATAGAGATCATACGGGACCAGACATTCCAGGTGGGCTGTACCATCGCCGGCAGCCGCGCCATCTTCCGCTGGAAGGACCTCACTTTTCAGTGGGAGTTTGTGCCGCAGTACGAGAGAATGCGTCGGCAGCTGGACTCTGATCCCATTAGGTTTGGTGACTCAAACACGCCATAATCTGAGGGTTCTGTCTTTTTGGATCCTCCTGAGAGTGGATTCCTGCGGGTGTGAACAACGTACGGGATACTTAACCAAATTATGCTGAAAGACACACGAAAGTACAAGCTTCTGAGACACAAAGCGTAAGGCACTCTCACAAAAAAGTAGAAATATGTAATGCGTATTGGTTGAACTGTATATTCAAATAGTACTTTAGTTGAAGCTACACTGTGTCTTTGAAGCTTGTATACTCGAGGGCTTGAATATTTCTATGTCTTTTTCATTCTGTGTAACTGTGGGACATTGTATGCCGAGTTTTTATCTTCAAAATATTGTTTGTCTACTTCAATACGAAAGCTATGTGCCTTCAGAGTTTCTGATTGTGTTCCCCGTCCTCTCCCTGAGCTTTCTTTTGTAACCGCCTGGTTTCATTCTAACACTTTTCTCCCACAAGCCATTGGTTAAAGTTAACATTCCATTCCTCCTTGCCCGAGACAGATGCACGCTTTTGTGTTTCACCCCTGATTTTTTTACAAACCCATTATTTTCTATTAACCGTAACCCCTTTATTTTGTTTTTGCTTGTTCTATAAACAATCATATTGTGATAACGAGTAGCTGGTGGCACAGACGTTGCATGAATAGACTACAAATTGGTTTCTGAAAAAGTAGTTGAAGAAATTATCGATTTTCCACTCACATGTCTCAGTGACAAAAACATTTAAGGCATACTATCTCGCACCAACTCAATCACATATGAACTCCTATTGCAATACGCAATTATGAACACATACAGGCACACACACTCATGTCTTCTTAAACATACACAAGTACCCGCACATAATTTTCTTTCCAATCCACTCCGACATTAGCCAGCCTCCCAAAACATTTACCAAGAGATTTCACAGTACGTAAAAAATAATAATAAAGTAAATAACAACAACAAAGTAAAATACATGCATATTTTTTCAAGCATCTGCACTCTCGTCCATACAGAAAGATTCAGACGATTTTTGAGGATACAAGCGACCTCTGAGCAACTGCGTGGCTCATGAAGTTCCAACCGATTTCGTGATTTGTTGTACACTTGATATTTCTGGCTCTGGAAACCTATACTAGACTATGCTGGGAGTGATTATACACAATACTTATTATTTGCTTGAAATAGTTCATTCCGAGTTTCATTAACAGCAGCATGTATCAGTGAAATGGTACTTAATTCGCTAATATTATAGCACTAGTGTTGTTGCTTCGCTTGCTTAGAATATTAGATCGAATATGATGCCTTAAGAAATCAGACCAGTTATTTAATAATTTATGTATACTGCTGCCGGAGTAACGACGCACCTATTTCACTCATCCGTGAATTGAAAGACTTTCTGTTGTTATTGTTGTTACTTTTGTTATCATTTTAAATAATAATAATGACAATAATAATAATAATAATAATAATAATAATAATAATAATAATAATAATAATAATAATAATAATCATAATCATAATTATTATCATCATTGTTACTATTATTACTACTGTTGTTATTATTATTGTTATTACTATTATTATTGTTATTATTATTTTCATTATTGTTTTCATTATTATTTTCATTATTATTATTTTCGTATTATCATTATCATTGCTATCATTATCCTCATTACCATAACTATTTCACAAGTCTTTTCAGAACCTTCAGTTGCCACAAAACAGTACAAAAACACGGCTTTTATTAATCTATCTTCCGTTAAACCCATAGCTATCCTAACCCCTTCAAAAGTCAAAATCAGATTTGACGTAAAGTTTAACCTTTGGAAACCTTGCTCCTGTCTCTTTTCAGGTCTCCAACCATGCCAGGAGGCCTGTTTGCTATCAGTCGGGAATTCTTTGAAAGACTGGGTACCTACGATCCCGGCTTAGATTATTGGGGTGGAGAGAACATTGAGCTGTCATTCAAGGTACGCGACATGTTTGATGTTAGAGTAAAGAGAAGCACTCTGGGATAACGGCAATTTAGCATTTGGAAAATGTAAGAATAAAATTGAAAAGGCTATGCTTTGATTTGAATAATGAAAGAAAGACAGTAAGACACATTTATATCCAACACTACAGCAAACATGAGATATAAGTACACCATTGTGAAACAAATTCTCCAAAAGGATCAACAGGGTACATTGAATTATTTTGTCGTTTTTTTCTGAAGGTTTGGTGAATTTTGTTTGGTGTATATTTTCTTGCCTTTCGATAGGGTGCCAATTACAGTTTCCAACCTCAGTCAACGATCTTTTTGTTTTTCTATTTCCATCCAAATCTCAAGGCTTGGATGTGTGGTGGCAGTGTTGAACTGGTGACGTGCTCGCATGTTGGCCACATATTCCGGCGTTCAAACCCTATCAGGTGGACAAGTAACATTGGCAGCAAGAATTCCATCCGTGTGGCTGAAGTCTGGATGGACGACTACAAGAACTATTTCTATGAGAGGATTCTCTATAATCTGGTAATCTACTTCGCTACCTCAGAATCTCAAAGTTCGTTCAAACATTTTGGGCTGTTTTGAGGTACTGAGACCATGACGTCAGAAAAGTGTTCTATTTGCTCTATCAAGATGGTAAGAACATTCAGAGCAGTTATCAAAATTATCTTTAAAAAATTTTGTATTTGAAAAAGCTGGACATTATTGTGAAACAAAAGTATTTAACATCAAATTTCTCAAAATTAGGTATTGAACAGATAAAACTTTGTAATTCTAAACTGGCAAGTTGCGCTCTGTCTGTAAGGACATTGTATTTCACGCTCATTTCAGACATGTAAAAAGTTATTTATATCTAAAGGACGGGACCTCGAAATCATGTCCATCTTCATTAAGAAGAAAAAAGTAAAAAAAATAACAATAACAGGGAAGCAAAGCAAACCAACTTACTACTATTAAACTTCAAGACGAAATCCCCCCCTCCCACCTTTTCCCCAGGGCAATTATGGTGACGTCAGTGCCAGAAAAGAGCTACGAGAAAATCTTCAGTGCGAGAGCTTTGAATGGTACCTGCGCAACGTCTACCCAAATATGGTGATACCGTCTCACATGAAATACGCAGGGGAGGTAGGTAGTAGCAAGGTTAAGTATTTCAATCTACACCCACAAGTGGCATAATATATGTTACATTTAAATAATGAGTATCTTTGAAAATTGTTAAGTTATCGCAGCTCTAATAATTCCCCCCCCCCCCAATTGTTTAGAACGTTAAATAAACAAAAATACGAAGAATGGATTTTAAAATTTCTAACTCCTCTTTGTAATGATTGAGACCATACATGAGGCGGGCTATTTCGACCCTGGCTGTCCACGAGTCTAGACCCCTTCCTTTGTATGTCAAATTTGACAATTTGACAAATAAATAATTAAAATAATAAAAGTCTTTGACCGGCACCTCCGTTGTTGCACTTAAAACTTACCGTTTCCAGCATAGCCAAGTTTCTTCAATAACAACTTCAAGTGTTGACTGCCTCATATCTCAGTTGCTGTGTTGTAAGGTTCTTGAATCCCACAGACATGACAAAGGGAATGTTGGTAGCTTTCAGTCAGCCTTTTCCAAATCTGAACTTTCTATGAAAGGTACAATTCTTGTGATTAACTGTTCGCATCTAACGGTTACAATCGGCTCGACTGGCAACCTTGGAAAAACAAAATCATTTATTTTATGAAGTTCACTAACAGATTTAGATGAGTTTTGTTTAATTGCGCCAAAATGGCCCTTTTTGCCTCTCCATGAAATAAGATCTGACTGCTCTTAACTGAATCAAATGAATTCGACTGACAGTGCTTTCTTTTTTTTGGAGTTTTTTAATGCAGGTGTTTTTAACGCTACCATCGACCCGATTAATTTAGATCATTAAGGAGGCGGGCTTTTGACGCTTTTTGTCAGGGTCATCCGGGCTGTGACTGATGCATCATTCTAACAGAAAGGTCGATATTCTCGATTTAAAAAATCATACCCTTCGGGAATGAAACATGGGTGTCCCGCGTGCGACAGTGAAGCGCCTAACTACTACACCGCTGACGCCGATAATGTCAGGCTGCCATGATCTGATAAATCGCATTTTTCTCAAAATCAAGGTTTCGAGATAATCGCGATTTAGTGGTTTTTGCTAATTAAACAAACAAATGGCATTGCTGTTTTTGTTTGACTATCCCACATGAAGATATATCTCATTTTCCATGAATAGACCAGATTTCATCGAATTTGAGCTAAAGACAAACAAATAAATAAGAAGAATGCGTTTTATCAGATCACCATTGAGTGTGCTCTGGGTTCTCTTCTCAGGTCCGCAGTGAAGCTTCGCCCAAGTGTGTGGACAGTATGGGATCTCCGAGCGCTGGACAACAGAAGCCGAAGCTTTATCCGTGTCACGGACAGGGTGGGTTACCACCTTCGTTTCTTTTCAGCACAGCATGCAAACAATAACCCGGTTGGGGGTACCGGGTTCATTATCTCTTCTTAAAACAAAGATACACTAATAATTCATTAATTGAATAAGTCTGCTTATGAGAGTACATTACACTCATTTAATAGCCAGATTTAAGCTTTTTCAGGTGTGATTCAAAACAGCAAATTAGATTCAAACCAAAAAAAAAAGAGAGAAAGAGAGAGAGAGAGAGAGAGAGAGAGAGAGAGAGAGA